TGGTCCTTGTTTGCTTTGTCTAGATCAGCAGTAACACAGTTTTCAGGCCTTAGAGCCAAACATGCCCTCAAAGTGCTGTCTCCCTCATGATCCTATCCAATAGCATCACAATGGGCACAATAGAGAAACACCTAGACTTGGCATCCCTTTACTAGACCTACAGGAGGGCTGTTCTGACTCCTACCACCTCACTACCTCAGTGGCTAATTGTACTCCTCACCCAGCCCCCATCTGACCACAGCGGGGCAGAGCCACATGGAGCCTCACCTAGCCTAGGGATAAAGTGCCCTCGAACCTACAAATGAGAGTCTGGGACCTTGTTACCTCTATGGGTCAGCATCAAGGTGTTTTCCTGAAGGACAAGTAGCTCCAAAGGAATTAATTCATCTTGCTGTCCTGAGATTTAGTATCCTTGCTTTCCTGTCCTCACCCAGCAGTTCTTTCTTCAGGTCCAAGAAGATTAACTGCACCGAGCAGATGAATTAGACCCTCGTGTACATCACCACCTGATTTCTAGAGCAAGTGAATTGTGTTTTCCTCTGTCTGACTTTTCTAAATCTGCCAGTAGTACCTACCTTGTTGGACTGTTCATATGCAACTATTTCAAAAACAGGTGTGTATGTGTGTGTTTTTAATTGGACAAGTCACAAAGCACTTGCTTTTATCCTTGCAGCAGCCCAGTGAGTCAGATTGAAGAAGGGAGACATCGCTCACTTGCTACAGATGAGGACATGGACCAGAGGGGTTAGATAAGACACATAGCTCTAGGGGCAGGGGCAGGTTACACTCCTGTCTTCTGACTCCAAGTCCAGTGCCCCTGTCTCTGCACTGTGGTTGCCTCCTGAGGCTACCACCTGGCCTGGGAAAGTCCAGGGGATGCTGGAGGGTAGGGTGCAGCGGAAGAATGAACCTGCATGTACTAAGCCATTGTGGTGGACACTGCCCAGAGCTGCTGGTAGAAAAGTGAGCCTGCTCCCCACAGTGATTACTCAAACTGCCAGCCTTGTGATAGCTTGTCCCATGCCACTGAACACTCCCAACTTCTGTAAAAAAAAAAAAAGTGCCAAAGTGTTTGCAAGACAGTCCCCTTTTTTGGACAGGAGTTATGTTAGCCAATTTATACCTCTCAGCACTGCTTATGCAGCATTATTTTCTCTGTCCACCCACACCTATACACCCTGTCTCAGGGTCAAGGTGCCCTTGCCCATCTTATTTTCCTAACCTGAACTTGGTGCATGGACTATGTCTAGCCCCTCAAAATGAATCTTGCTGCTCTATTTAAGATATATTATTGAATTGACTAGCATGACCTCTTAAGCACCCCAGGTCAGAAACTTAGCTTCTTGCCTGCTCTCCTGTCTCTCATAACTTGGCGGGAGGAAGGAGTCCTCAAATGACCCCTTGCCGTGGCCAGCTGAAGTGCAGGTATATAGGGCTACAATGACTTCCCAAAAGAAGAAAATTACTTTGTCCTTGATGCTGTTCCACCATCAGCCAGCAGAAATAAAACCAGGTGTTTAGACCCTCAGCCCAAAGTCCAGCAGTCCCTAGTTAGGTCTGGCCACTCACGTCCCCTAGGAAAAATACAGAGACATAGTGAAGAGCAGAGTATTACATGGCAGTGTCATCAGCTTATTACTGAAACAGAACAGGAACAAGGTGGTCTCCTGAGTTTTGGGGCTGTTAGCTTTAAGATAATAAGTAAGACATGGCTTGTTTGAGGGACAGTTTACCTTCCACACAAGATGCTTCTCTGAATCTTCTCTTTGCTCTTAAAACAAGGTGACTGCAAAAGGACTGTGGCAGAGAACAGCTCAGATCAGAGGGCAGAGATACAAAGTTGGAGGGCTTTTAGTTAATTCACAATACCCAGCAAAAGCATCTTTTTAAGTACCTCTTACAGAAACAGCTACCAGCAAGTCTGTGTGCCAAGTGTCTGTCTCCTTTCTCTCCTGAGCAGCCTGAGCCATTGTTGCTTTTTGAATATGCCCAAATATGCATGGGTTTGCAGATGGCTTGTTTGGGGCTTTAGCTTACTCTCTGGAGTGTGGCTCTTCTGCCACCGAGAGAAGCAGAGAGGCAGGTGTTGACTATGGAGCTTAGAGACATCTCTCCTCCTTAGCCAGCCTTTGAGGGCACAGGCTCCATTGTCTGTGGAGCAGAGGACAGCCAAAAACTGGGTACTTAATTGTCTGCCCACTGCACCTCTGGTAGGGCTCCAGCAGCACCATCTTCCAACCCTGGCTGGGGATACTTATTTGCAAGGTGACTTTGAGGTAGATTTTACATGTTATCATGAACCAGTGCATAATAAAATGAGACTTGGGGGGTTTAAAGCTACATTCTAATACAGTGCTTTCTCCATGATGATTTGAATATCATTTGACAGAAGATAACTAAGCAAGGAGAGGTAATACAGCCTGAGACGAGCTGCTTATTGTGAAATTCCTCAAGGCTGACTCTTGAGGGCCAAGCTTCCATGCATAGGGGACTGGAGAAGTTGCCAGGAATGGCCAGGGCACCAACAGCCCGCTTGCCTTCTAGCTGTCCAAGAAGCATCTCTACTCAGCATTCTTCAGTGAGCACGCCACATCCTGTCTCCATGGGCTGCCTGCCCCAGGCCAGATGAGTCCCTAAGGAACTCTCCCTGCTGGGAGAAACCTCCCGCCCCCCCCCCCACCCCCCACCTGCCCTCTTTCCCCAACACTTCCACTTAGGCAGGCCTGCCCTGGAGCTTCCTGCATCTAAATCCCACCAGTGGGGGGAAAAAAAGCTGAGCAGTCTTTCCCTTTTCCACTGGGCCTCCCATCTTTAACTCCCCGCCCCCCGCCCCATGATAAATCAGAACAGGTTGGTTTATTTCTTTATGGAAGGAGAGGTTTAGCTGCCTAGAGAAACCAAGAGTCTTCTGTCTGACTCTGCATTTCCCAAGCCTAGAGGAAGAAAGTGTGTTCTACCAAGATAATACTGACTTTTGAATATATCAGCTTGATACTTGCCTCCTTGAGTAAAAAGGGCCAAATGTTACCTGCAGGTGTAATCTTCTATATTCAAAACGCCCCATCTCCTCTGTCTGCCAGTGTGTTTCCAAATAAGCTATTCACTTGCTCTAAGCCTGTGTAATTTTTTTTTCTTTTTCTCCTTAACCTGTTCTCTTTCCATTGACTTGCTCCCCACCCTGGGCTTAGAGCTTCAGAGGGACTTAACCTTGGAGCCTCCTGCCCCAGGACAGCTGAGGACATCAAATCGCTTTTCACTGTTGAATCAGGAGCCAGACCCAACTTGGTTTGGTTCCTTTTATCTTATATCCTCTTCTCTGTCTTCCACCAGCCTAGTGTGGTGCATCCTTAGACTCTTCCCTCCCCTGTGACGAAGAGGTGAAAATCCACTTGGGGCTCTTTGGAGCCATAGGAGGAGTGAAAGGGTCTCCAGCCACAGGCCCTGCAGCACAAGTACAGCTCTGCACTTCAGATGTCTTTCCTTCTGCCAGTGAAGGCAGCTGTAGGGGGGGGCAGGGAGAGATGCCAGGGGAGGGAGGGAGAAGGGAGCCTGCTACCTGTGGAGCTGAAGTGTGTGGTGCTCAGGCTATGTGCTTCTTTGAGGTGTGGCTGTTACCCCACAGTGGCTGGTCCCAGACACCCTGAGGTTTCAAACCCATTAAGAGCTCACTTTTTTAAAAAACTGACCCTTTTTTTTTTCTTTTCTGTTCTGGATACAAAGTTAAAGTTATTAGAGGGAATTATATCTGTGACAAAATTAACCTGGTAGACTGGCTGGGCCCCTCATGGGGAGGGCCTGATGGGGTGTGAGGGAGGGCAGGGTCTAAGGCAGACTCAGCCCCATCGGGCTCTGGGGGTGTGGGGGCCAGCTCTCCCCTCGGTAGCTGAGGTGCATCTGAGCTTCCTTTTTCTCAGTCTGGAGTTTGCACACATCAACAAGTATTTGAGTCAGATATGCTTTAGCTATAAACTCGTTCAATCAGTATGCTCTGCATTCATTCTTCTTTGTCTTTTTTTTTTTTAAACAAAAGGAAAAAAAGTTTAAATCCCCCTTTTCCTACTACTGCAGGAGGTGAGTGTGTGGGTGTTCTGTAGGAACATTGCCTCCACCCCAGCTTTGGCCCAACCTTCAGGTGTTACCATTCCCACCCCCCATCCCCTCCCTCCATCCCAGGCTCTCCACCTCAAAAGGGAACCCTCTGCCGCCATCATTACTGTTCTGTGAAGATGCCCGAACTTTCCATGACATATCCCATCTTCGACCACTTCAGTATTGCCGACTTTCATGCAGGGATTAAAAATGGGAGGGGCTGGAAGGGAGGGAGTAGTCAGTAGTGGGGAGGGGGGAAAGGGTGTGGGGAGGGGGAAGGATAAAGAATGGAGATCTTTTGTCTATTTTTATATGAATAAATAAAAACAAAATGATCATTTAATGGATCCAAAAAAAAAAAAAGAAAGAAAGAAAAATAAATACATGAAACTAAATTTTAAAAATCCCCCTCCTTAAAAGATTTTTTTTTTCCTGGACACAAATTGCTTTGTTTCCTGTCACGTTTTAATATCAATATTAACACAATGTGTAGTCTAAAACTAGTTCCTTTGTAGTTTGCATGGGATGTGAATGCTGTCTCAACGTGCCCAAATCTAGAAGACTGCATGAGCGTCAATTCAGATGTGAAAAAAAATCTCTCTCTCTCTCTCTCTCTCCTCCATATATATCTCTATTTCTATTGTGATAATTTGGTGGACAGTGAAAGCACCTCCGGTTGGTTGCCGTAGTGTGTTGAATGATCTTTTTTTTTTTCTTCTCTCTATTTTTGGAGCTCCAAGCTTCTTAGTAGTAGCCTGGGCTGAGTATTCTTGAGTCCCTGCTGTTCTCGCATGGCCTTGGTTGAGTGTTAGAAGTTGGGCCTCAGCTGTTTTTCTTGAGTGTTTGGCTTGTAATGATCGGTGCATGCCTGGCTTCTGGCCTCATACCCAGCTCTATTCTCTGCACACCAGTCCTGAATAGCTACAGTGCTCAACCGAATTTTGGCGCGCCCGCTTCCCCGGCAGGCTCCAACCCGGCGCGGCCCGGAGGCTTCCCGGGGGCCAACAGCCCAGGACCTGTCGCCGATCTCTACGGCCCTGCCAGCCAGGACTCTGGAGTGGGGAATTACATAAGTGCGGCCAGCCCACAGCCAGGCTCGGGCTTCGGCCACGGCATAGCTGTAAGTACCTGACTCCCTCCCTGTCCTTCCTTCCTGACCAACCAGCCCAGGGGGAGGGAAGGCCAGAGTGAGTGGGGACAAAGGAGAGGACAGGGGGGCCCTGTCAACATCGTACCACCTTCCAAAGGTTCAGACTCCTCCATTGTCATTGTCACGGGCCCTGAGCCCCTTCCGAGTGGCCTGGCAACACAATGTAAGGTGCATGGAGGAGGGCTCAGGCTCACCACCCTATTGCCTGAAACCTTTCCAACCCCAAGCCACCTACCTGACCTGTGTCCCTGGCTACACATGACTACAAAACAAGACAGAGTAGACTGGATGAGAATGAACAGAAAAACCCCTAGCACATGCTGGTTCATTGCAGGTCCATGCAGCACCATGCCATTCCCCTTCACCTCAGAGCTGGCAAGCTTAGTTAGCAGTATTCCCGGCCTACTTGTCCAGTGCCAGTGCTGGTACCTGAGAGGCGGTGCGGGGCAAGCCCCCATGCCGGCCAGTCCCTTTCTAACGTTTCTTTCCAGGTTCCAAGTAAGTTCCCATGTGTGTTCTTTAGCTGCAGCCCCTCCCCCCCAAAGGCCAGATGCATTTGATATTTGTAATGCTCTGTGGTTCTATAATCTGACTAATCCAGGCAATGGAAATTTGCTTAACAGATTTGCATGCTGTTTTCAGATTGTATTGTTCTTCTCCCTCCTGGTATGTGAGCATGAATGTGCCTGAGCCCACTTGCTCGCCGTCCCCTCCATTTTGGAATCAGAAAAGTGGCCAACTTCTGCCCTTGCCACCCTCAGCCTCCTGGAGGCAGTTTGGTTTTGAGCTGAGGTGACAGTGTCTGCTGTCTCAGATCCCATCCTGGGCAGACTGCTTGGGGAGGAGAGCTGGCTCCAGCTCTGCTGGGGAGAACAAAGCCAGTGCAGACAGCCTGGGACAGCAGAGTGAGTGGCCTTATCCATGTTCCCAGGTATAGGAGCCTACACACACACACACACACACACACACACACACGCACTTGCATATTCTCACAATAGTCTGTGTCTTACACACACACACACACACACACATACACATTACTCTCTGAATATATCACACATTTTTTTTTCTTTTTTTGTCATTTGTGGCACTTGGGCGCTGCCCCTCAGCTCTTTAGCTCAAGGCTAACGCTCTACCACTTGGGCCACAATACCACTTGTGGTTTTCTGGTGCTTTATTAGAGATAAGTCTCATGGACTTTCCTGCCCAGGCTGGCTTTGAACGGTGATCTCAGCCTCCTGAGTAGCTAGGATTACAGGCGTGAGCCACCAACACCAGCTTCTCTCTCTCTCTCACACACACACACACACATACACACACACACACGCACACACACGCACGCACAAACACACACCATACACCTGTCTGCCTGGGTTGCTGTTCAGTTCACCCACCAAGCCAGTGTCACTTGAATCAGAGTTTTGATGACTCTTAATTCCCTCAGATCAAGTATAGTACCAAATCCAGAACATTATTATTCAGCAGAGAGCTGCATCAGTTTGGAGAACTGTCTGTCACCGCGTACAGCTTGACTCATTTCCATTTTCAACATTCAGAAACACGGTCCCTATTCATTCTGGAAAACCTGGGTCCTGGGACCTTGGCTCAACAATGTGTTTTCTGCACTGGGATTTCTTCTCTCCAGTTCCAGCTGTTGGCCTGCAGACAGAGACTTTTCTTTATTGTGTCTATTCCATGGGGCATGAGCCCCCGTCCCACTTTGCCACCACCCACCCACCCACCTGCCCAACCCCTCAGAATCTGGCTCTTGGTTCCCCGTGGGGAAGCTGAAGGGACAAGGGTTTGGAGCATGGTGTCTCAGAATTACATATTCATGCTGGCAGCCACAAACTAGTTCTAGAGATAATTTCCTTTCTCAGAATGTGACAATCTGTTCCCGTGTATAGCGCACTGATGACCTTAACAATTGTGCAATTTTAGGGACCTTTGATTGCAACGGCCTTTACAAATGGATACCACTGAGCAGGTGCTTCCGTTGCCATCACTCTGAGGTACTGCCGTCTCTGCCATGCGTCTCCGCCCTGCGGCGTGTCCGTACACGTATGTGCCCTGCTCATACCTGTACGCGCATGCCCTGTCATTGCACCACATCTCTCTTCCTCTTTCCAGATCCCCTTTCCAGGGAGGTGGGGGCAAGAACAAATCTAGTCATAATCCCTCATCCTTCCCTCCAGCTTTTAATCATGACCCCTGCCTTTCCCTTTTCACTTTTTTTTTTTTTTTATGTCCTTGATTTGGTTCTTTTGATTCCATTTCTGTATCTTCCCACCTTCATCTTTCTCCATCTTGAAAGACAATCAAGAGTGCAGGAAACTGGAAGGAGACCTTGGGCTGGTTCCAGCCCCTGGGAGGCGGCAGGGAAACTGGACTGCTGCCAGGCCTTGGGGGGAGGGGCAGGGCCACTCCTGGAAGTTCTGCCAGCTGACCTCTTATGGGTTGCTAGACCCATTGGGCTTCCTGGGGGCTTGGCTTCTAGGGTTTGTGCAGTCAGATAACCAGACCTCCCATCTTTTAGTGAAAAGAAAACATTTTTTTGCCAGTAACTATGGTGTAATTATCCAGATTATCGCCCGAAAAGCAAATTAAATTAACGACATCACCTGCCTAACGTGGATTTGGATCCCTGCCAGTTTCCTAACCTTTTAAACTGAGCTCAAGTTAATTAAACATTTTTAAATCACTTTGATGGGGATATGGAGGTGGTGGACCGGAGCAATGGGGAGGTTGGGGCAGGCAGTGAACGAGCCTCTAACCACATTCTCCTCCTCCAAAACTGAGTGTCTGTCATTCGTGGGAAGAGCACCAGGAGATGGGAGCTGTCTTGGTGAACGCGCTAGACATGGACTGTGTTCACACATGAGCTGTGGGCTGGGAAGGTGGATTTGTCTTTTGGGTGACAGCTGAGGCCTGGGAATGGATTCCACCTAATAAGTCACACCAGGGAGGGGATGAGAGCCTTCCGCTCACGGAGCTGGGACACGGACTGGGCGTTCAGGGGCTTCCTGTCTCGTAGAGAGGCACTGCACCCAACCCTAAGCCAGCCAGCACTCAGAGGGGCAAAAGGACCAGCTTGGGAACCCGGGTGGAGTTGAGCTCCATAAACCTCTTAGATTTCTCCTATGTTGCTGCTAAGGAATCACCTCAACTAACGCAACTGCCTCTCTTAACCAAATAAGCCATGTGTGTGAATCACCCCTCCCCTCGCCTCCACTGCCCTTCAAGCACTGACCCGGCCATTGCTGGCCAGAGCCAGAGGCCACTAACAGTTTGAAAGAGAGCTACTTGCTACTAATTAAGCTGGGTTTGGGGGCCCAGGGGCAGTAGGGCTCCTCTGAAAGCAAGGAAAATGGATAGGTGCAAGAAGTCTGGGCCGGGGGGGGGGGGGGCGGTAAAGAGGGCACCAGCCCTGTAGAGTCAGACAAACGAGAGGGCCAGACACTGCCCAGCACAGCAAGTCCTTGGGAGGCCAGTTGCTGGGGCTACCAGTGCCACCGCCTCCCTCCTTACTCCCTAGCGAAGAGTGTGGAGTGGTCCTGTCCACACTTCCATGCGCTCCAGGGCTGCCCCTGCTCCTACAACCATCTCCCATCTCACTCACTCGAGGACTTGGTTTCCAGAAAAGGACCAAGTAGCACAGGTTAAGTGAGGCAGTAGAGTCACCAGGCTAGATATCCCACAGTGACTAAGCGACTGCTCAGACACACACTTTGTCCCCAGCAGAGGTGACCCACTGGCATTTAGCATCATCCATGTGAGAAAGGTCCACAGTCAATTGAGGGAGACTCAATTAGTATGTCTCTGAATCCTGGGCTGTTTGGGTTTTCTCCAACCAAAGCTGGTTTGGTTTTTTTCAGGCTTCTGATCTTTTACCCCTTGGTACATCATATAAATTTTATTTTTAGTACAAATTTGTATTTCCAGCTATTAACAGTCATCGACGGGTGTCTTCTGAAGACAGACGTGTTTGCTATTTAGCTTTGAAAATAAAAGTTTAAACAGAAAGCTTCCGGTCAGCGTACAATTCAACTCTTAATTTGCTGGCCGCGCTTCTTGCTCTTACCTCAAGAATTGTCTGGTCCCAAGTGACTGGGGGCATGGTGCAAGTGGTTTAGCGCCTGCCTAGCAAGCACTGGGCCCTGAGTATGAATCCCAGTGACTCCATGAAATCCCAGTACCTGTGTGAAATAAGCAGAAGTGGGAGGTAGAGCTATGTCCTCCCTCCCCTGTGTCAGATGTAACGTAGACATCAGATTTCCCAGGCTGTGATCTCAGAAATCCAGCCCGGCCAGCTGGCCATGTTCCCACCCGCTGAGTCACACAAATGTAGTCCTTCCTTTGAAGACTCTCGTCAGAATCGATCACATACTTGTCTGATAGGTCTTCTCTCTCCTCCTACCCCCACTTGGTCTTCTCTTCGTGACACTCCTGACCTTCCCTACCCTGCAGAGCATACCTGGATGTCCAGGCAAGACTGGGCGAAGTTTCTGAGTGGTCCTTTGTTTAGGTGATGTCCTCAGACCTGGACCCCCACCAGCCTCCTCATCCCAACCAGAGATGGCTCACTTCGGATTGAGGGTTGACTACGCCACATCATCTCACGAATCTGCTGTAATATAAGACAACAGCTTTTAAATGTGTATATAACCCATGATTTTGGTTTGGTTTGGTTTTGTTTTTCTTGGTGGTCTCCCTCCCCTTCCCTCTCCTCTCTCCTCCTTCCCCTTCTCCTTTTGAAATCTCTTTGAATCACAGTTGGTGGTGATTTTGACTTAGTCCAGTACATACCTAGCTTTAATATCTAGTTAAAAAGCTAACCATAGTGTAATTGTTATATTAAGGGGTTATTATTTTTTCTTTTTTGCTTGTTTTGATTCTGTTCTCACTTGTAAAGGATACTGAGATGGTGATGTTGCTCTCCATATTTTGGTACCAATTCTGAGACTGTATGATATTTCTGGTGGAACTTTACGCACCCGAGGGGAAGTTGTGACTGGCAGAGTGGGAGGTGGGCGTGGACTTCCTGTTTCGCATTGTGGAAGTGGGATGTAGTAAGCTGGTTAACACACTCTCCAAGCGGTTCCTTTTTTTTTTATGACGTCTCTTTGTTAACCTAAGTCTATCTATTTTCGGCAATAAGGTAAGGATGACCATGTTTTGCGTGTCCTCCTTTTCTATAAGTGCTTTTTTTTCTGTTGAAAGAGGTCATATTATAAGGTTTTTTGAAATTGTGAATTCTAAAAAAGAAAAAAAAAGAAATGTTGTAAATACAATTTCATTAACTACATAGAAACTATTAAGAAAGAATCAAACTTATTTTTGTGAGGGAGTAGGTCCCAGGCAATTTGATGCTCTGGAAGGAGGCGAGGGCACGTGACACAGTCCAGTAATGAGAGAAAAGGACACGCAGCTGCCGGGACCACCTCGGGACGTGTAGAACACTTGTTGAAGCTCCTTCCTTGGTGTCATAAGACCTAGGAACTTCATTAGTATCCTACCAGCCTGTCAATCTCTCATCTGTGCACAGCTTCAAATGTTACCGTCTAGCTAGAGTTTTATTTAAAATATGGAAAATAAAATCTGCTTTTCCCAAGATGTTTTTTAAAGGAAAAAAAAAGCTACAATTTTAATATTTAACATATTTAAAAGTTTCAAAGCACACCTGTTTGGCTTGGGGAAAGGGCGGAGAGGGAACATTTCTTTTTCAGTCTTAATTTTTAAATGTTTGATCATTTTCTATTGTCCAATCATTTCAGCACCTTCAAAGGTTCCTTAAGGATGCTTTGCCTCTCCCCCCGCCTTGCCCCCCACCCCCCGTTGCTGGGGGACCCTGGGCCAGGAGTGGATTAGCCGGCTGGAATATATAACCTTTTCTCCATTCACTTTCTATTTACAAATTAGAAAAGGCAACCTTTTTGGTTTATATATATATATTTTTTTAATACCTCAGTGCTGCAAGTATCACCAGAGAGGCTATGGAAGAACTTTTTTTTTCTTAATTTATTGTAGATGTAAGCAGAATTTTAAAAATAAAAGTATAAACATCCCTGCACTGTGACTGGTGGGAAAAACTGACACTTCCTGTTTGCACATGTTTAAACATTTGGCTGTTATAATATATGGTCCTCAGTTGGGGAAAGACACTTATGATGAAGGATATTTGTTAATTTAACTTTTTTTTTTAAATATTGGTAATAGGTCGGCAACAGCAACTGTAGAAGTACAACTCAATAGATGGCATTAAAACCTATTGTAGTGTGGATATATATTTTTTCTTTTTTAAAATGTGATATTGACTTTTATTAATATTTTTTAAATTGTTACGTTTATAAATTTGGTACTTAAGGCACAGCCAGTATGAGACACTGAATGCGACATTTATTATAAAGAGCTGCTGCACTCCTATTTTTTATAAATTTTACTAACAAAGTAGACTAATGTAGACATTCACAGACATGGTAGGGAAAAAGCATCTTCAAACTAAAGCCTCCAAAATGTTAACTCAGAAACAAAAAAAGAAAAAAAGCCCATTTTCAATTCTAATTAAACAGCAACAGCATTTTTTTTTAAATCATATTCTTCAGTTTCCAGTAAAATGCTAGGTTGTTTGGTAAGGGTTGGGGGAGGAGGGTTTGTTGTTTTTTTTTTAAATTTCCAAACAACCAAGTTAAATAAAATGCTGGACACTTTTAAAATATCACAACTTGTTCAAGACAAAAAATAACAAAAATTTTATTTTAAAAAGGAAAAAGGAAAAAAAAAGACACTAAATTCCTAGAAATTCAGTGTCAAGCTAGGGGATGAATTACTCTTCTGTCCATGTTGGTGATGTACTGTACCCCTCCTTTCTCAGCACCCCCCATCTCATAGAGGACTCTTTGTTGATCATTGTTTGTTAATAATGTATAAAATGGCTATGTTGTAAGTGTGCTATCCTGATACTAGTGTAGAAACTTTTTTTTCCTCCTCTTTCTTCTACTACATATTGATAGGTATAACGTAATTAAGGTTTAAAAAAAATTAGACATAGTTACTCAGATTTAGGACCAGTAAGGATAGAACTTTCTCTTATTTATGAAAAGAAAAAAATGCTAATAATTTTGGGGGCAGTTTTTTTTTCTTTTAATTTTTTTTCTATTTCAAGTTTTAATTTTATTTTTGCTGATCTGATGTGGTTTCAACTAACCCAAGGTCTCACCATGTTCAAATGCCGGCCGACTCTGGCGTTTCGTAGACCCCCCACCCCCTCACTGTTTTGGGGCGTGCCATACTACCTTAAATGCTAATGCTAGAATATGCAAAACTGGATTTTTTTAATTTATTTTTTAAAAGAGGGAGGCATGGTATATTAAAATGATTTTACTAAGAGAAAAAAATATTTTTTTAAGAATGCTCAGAAGAAATTGATAATCTGTGTGAATATGTTTTAGGTGTTTATATACCTTTTGAAGAGACCCAGTAGCCCATAGCACAAATCTTGTGGAAATCTGATGTGTTTTAATGTGGCTACCTAGGTTAAGGTTCACGTTAGTCCCTACCCACCTCATCTAGAAGTCCATTTTGAACGATTTTTTTTTTTTTTTTTTTTTTTTTTTTTTTTGGTAAATTCTTTTAGCACTGATGTCCTGCCTTGTCTTTGTTTCATTGAAGCTCAATGGCGAATGTGGAAACCACCTTTCGCCTTCCCTGGGGAAGAAACCCTCTTAGCTGATGACTCTTCCCCTGACATTATCAAATAGCCACCTCCTGGGGACTCTCTGGCTTCCGGACCCACCAGCTGGAGACCCCAAGCTCCTCTCCTTCCCAAGCAGGGGAGAGTGAGTGGGAGCAGCTCCTGGTCCCATCCCCAGTCCTGCCTGGTCATGGGGGACTGATGGAGATGGCCAAGCCTGGATCTCCTGTCCAAGAGCTTCTGCAGAGTGGTCTGTGGCCTTCCTTATACACACTGGGAAAACTCACTCTATCCCATTCGCTCATTGGCTTGATTTAAACGAAGCTCCAACAGGCCTTTGCATTTTTATCCTTCATACCATCATCTTAATTTGAACTTGTAGCTTGGGCTTTAAGGTAGCATGGCTTGATTGCTGTCAATTTAATGTATCACTATACAGCAATCCACAGCCAGTGAGTGTTACACACATCTTGCTAGACTAGTATAAAATCATTGGGTCATTGTTGGTTCTAATGACCTGAAAGGTGTTCAGGATTTTTTTGTTTTGTTTTTTGTTTTGGGTTTTTTTTCCTTGTTTTTGTTTTGTTTTAATTTAATTTTTTTCTTTTGGTTGTTTTCATTTGGGAATTTTAGGGGGAAAAATATTTTTGGTTCCAAACAAACAAACAAAAAACTATTTTGGTCTTTAGTGCAAACGAGGGCTAGGGACTTAGCCTCCACCACCACTTACCACACTGCTTCGTTCTGCCATTCACTCACTCTAGCATACTCAAGAATAAAGCAATATAGTTTACTACATTTTTTATTGAAGGTCAGCCATGCTTTCTGTATTATATTGCATATGAAATTGTTTACAAAAGAAACACTAACTCATACTTCTCTTTATCGGTTGGAAGAGACACACAGGGACAGAGGGATTATTCAGGGGGCAGGTGAGGGAGGGGAGAATTTTTTTTTTTTTCTTTCTTGAATGTGCTAAGCCAGCCAGGAGATGTTCCACGAAAGGCTAAGGCCAGGCAGGCAGAGGGTAGAGAAGAGGAACAGGCTGCCGGCAAGCACGCTGAACAGACACTGGTGAGTTCCCCACCCTCACCCAGAGCAGAAACGTAGATGTCAGCTCAGCCCAGGCCTGGCACAGACACTACACACAGCTACGCTGGATGTTAAGCAATACTTTAATACTGTAATACGTTTGTTTTCTTTTTCCTTCTTTTTTTTCTTTCACCAAAACAACAATAACAACAAAAATAAGTGAACTCAAAAACAAAGAAACATTTCAATCAAACCCATCCCTCCTGGGGAACAACCTTAATCTTGGCTATCTAATGATCAGAAAGTATTGTCTGATAGGATTTCATTTCCGGAAGGCAGGAGCATGAGATAGGAGGGGGAAAGGGATTGAGAGACAAAAGTTCCAGAGTCTTCTAGAAGGCTCCTACTACTGTATCCTGTACATACTGTAGCATCCTGTGTGGAGTCTGTGAGCGTGCTCTGAGTAGCGTGGGCTAGCCTATCTGCCATTCATGCTGTGTTGTGAACTCGGAATTCCATATGTAATAAGATGCAAGTCTAAGCGTTTCATGTGGACATAAATGTATCTAAATAAAACTTTCCCTAGCACTGTGGCTGACCTCACCCTTACTTTTATACTTTAGTATGAAACTGATGAGAACTTTGGTAGTGAGTATTTTTTTTATATATATACATATATATGTAACTATATATATATATATCTCAAGCATCTTTCAGGTCTCTGTGTGTGGCTTACTTAAAGCCCTGTTGTAAAAAAAAAAAAATTACTATGTGGATGGCAGTCTCTCACATCACAGATGTGGAAAGTATAATTTTATATTTGTATTTTCAAATAAATAAGTTTGTGAAAGGTTTCCATCCTCTACTGTGGTCCAGAAATCAATGTGTTTGTCTGACAAAAAAAAAATAAAATAAAATAAACTGTTTTGAACAGAGTTGTGTGGTGGTCTTGTACTTTGGGAGATGGGCTGGGGAGGGAATCGCGCTGTTGGGTTGCGGGGGGGGGGGGGCGCCTGGTTGTATCAGCTTCCCCTCACCCTTCAGCGTAACTGCTGACATGGAAGGGAGTCCGGGGAGCCATTTTATGGGATGGCAGAAGGGCAGTAAGATAGAAGAGCAGGCCAGAGAGTGGAGGAGAGTAACAAGGGAAGGTATTCAGAACCCAGGGAGGATAGGGACTTCAGTAAATGGCAACCCATCCTTTGAGTGCGTGAGGTCCTAGGAACCCCCGTGGAGGGAAGAGTAGGAAAGCAGCTCAGTCAACCGTGGGCCTTCCCCCAAAAGCACCACCTCAAATCCCACGGCCCTGGAGTGAGGGTTTCAAAGAGTATCTCAAAGACTGACCTCTGCCTTCAAGAAGCTCAGAAGTTTTGCCCACTAGAAATAGTTTTAAGAAAAAAACTAAGCCAGGCACTGATGGCTCACACCTATATCCTAGCTACGCAGGAGGCTGAAATTGGAAGATCATGGTTCAAAGCCAACCCAGACAGGGAAGTTTGTGAGACACTTTTTCCCCCCATCAGTCATGGGACTTGAACTCAGGGCCTGGGCACTGTCCCTGAGCATTTCTGCTCAAGGTCAGCATGCTGCTACTTTGAGCCACAACTCTACTTCCAGTTTTCTGGTGGATAATTGGCGATGAGAGTCAAGGATTACAGACAGGAACCACCAGCACCCAACAGCCTCTGAAACTCTGATCTTCAGTTAACCACCAAAAAGCCAGACATGGAGTTGTGATACAAGTGGTAAAGTGCTAGCCTTGAGTGAAAAAGTTCAGAGATAGCATTCTGTCCCTAAATTCCAGCCCCAGGACTGGCACCAAAAAGAAAAGAAACAGTCACAAAACCAAAAATACAGAAAGAGATTAACCCTACCACTTCCCACCTTCTCACCAAGCACCTGAGAGAGAGCACAAGAGACCTGAGATGTTGCTCATGGAAAGAAAGTCTAAGGCCTAGTGGCAACATGCAGGACATGAGGTTTCTCAGCCATTTGGGCAGTAAACAGGCCAATGGATGTGTATAGGCTGAAGGGCGGGCCTCGCGGTATCCCCACAGCTGCTACTCAAGGCACGGGACAAAGCCGTAATCCCCAGGACACAGCCTCCTTGGGGTTTTCCTCCAGTTTCCAGTCTCCAGTTTATCACAATCTTTGCTATATCAGGGGTCTGGAGGACAGGTAGAAGATGCCCCTGTCACTTGGGCCAACACTAGCTCCCTTGCATCCCCAAAGCACCAGCATTCTGGTGTTCTCGTAGTTTCTAGAGAGGAATACCTAATCCCTGCTGTCCCACAGAGGTATAAGACCCAATGGTTGCTGAGCTCTCCCCGGAATTCTGAGAGTAGTGAGGGAGCCACACACACAGCCACTGTGGTCATCTTCCACATCCTGACTGCTCAGCTCAGAGGATGAGGCCCCCACTCAGGAAGCCTAAGAAGATAGGACAGGAGTCCCACCCACATAACAGACCGGTCCCAGGCTGGGGATTGCTGTGCGTGCTGTGTGACTTAATGCTCAAAGAGCTAAGTGGCTCATGGTCTTACAACTGCTGAGTGGGCAGAATGAAATCTCATCTCCAGGATATCTTGCTGTCCCTTGGTTCAAGACTAGTGACAGATGTCAACATTGAGGGCTAAGTGTACTTGGGAGGGCGGAGGTAAGGCTCTTTAAGTGCCCTGAGTCAATCAGCTATACCAAATAAGAGGTGGAAGAATAAAGTCGGGAGGGGGGGTGAAAACTTCCATGATTTCCTATTTGATGGAGAAACACTAAAATAAGTTCGAAAACAAGTCACCAGAAACTGGAAAATACTAAGAAGAAGCTACAATACGCAAGATAGAATGAAAAGACAAGACCAAGCG